TCGGTTGTGGTGGCTATGTTTCCTAAATGAGATTCACGTTTCTAATGTTCAGTAATCCTAAGTTGAGGGAATTCTAGACAAAGTGTATAACAACATGCTGGGGGAAAGATTCGAGTATATTGCGAAGGCTATGTAGGCTAGTATGGTAGCATAGTTAACCGTTCATTTCCTAACATATATGAGATTCTTGGATTAATTTATACAGAGGAACTTTTATTCAGATCAGATCAGGCACAGGAACTAGATACGTGAATACATAAGCCCGCCCCCCAAAATTATATAATATTAAGTTACCGTCATTCAATGTTGTCTGTCTCGTAATTTTCTTGTATTTGGTATTACTTGTCCACCTCTATTTTTTTGAAAAGAGTAGGGTATGATAAAACTAAAGATAGGAGAGGAAGTTGCCAGGGGAGTTTAAATGATAATTAGAAAGAATGGAGAGGAGGATGGAGAAGAAGAAAAGAAACGCCAGAGAAGACGTTTCAGTTACGAGTGCCAGTAGCGCTGTTTACCTGCACCACAGAGCGGGCACAGTCCGAGCTGTTTATCCCGCGTGATATGACAGGGACTGATGTTCTCAACATGGCCAGGGCTCTGGGATGCATAATGCATACGTCGGGGGTATATTGGACCACGCCGGCACATTTCCATATAAAGTCGTCGTTCCCCCCCTTTCTCTCCCTCCTCCACTCCTCTCCCCGGGTGCGGCACCTTCCCCTCGCTGCGGGCGGGTGACGCTCCTATTAGACGCGCGACGGCCGCTGTTTGTTTTCCGTGCTCGGGGATTCGTTCGGGATTCGTTCCGGACCGCCGCGCCGCGCCGCGCGCCTGACGAGGGTGAGAGCTACCGCCCCGCCCCCTCCGCCACGCCCCGCGCCGAGCCACCCTGCGACCCAAACAAACGCAGCGGCGAGTTAACGAGAGGTTGCCGCCGCCGCGGCGTGGCGACGGGGGGCGGCGCGGCGCGTTTACAAACGGGGACGCTGCTTTGTATGATTTGGTTGTTTCCAAAGAGAAGGTAGGTATCGTTTCTCTGTAGTTCACAGCGCCTAACCCTTTCAAGTCTGCTAGAGGTCTTTGGAAGTGTGTGTCAGTCTTCAACGTGTTTGCTTTCGGCGCGGTTTGCTTTCAACGGTGTTGATACGCTTGTTAGGGATATAAAGAACATAAATTTACACATAGTAGTAAGTAAATTTCTCAAAGTCCAATCAATTGAAATGGGTTAACAATTCCTCCTTGTGTTCCTTCTTCCGCCTAACGACTAAAACGAACACTATAACGCATAGTACAAACAATAAAAAACATGCGCAAAATTAATGTTTGGATGACTTCTTTGAATTTCTAAATATAATTGCGGTAGCCAATGTTTATTCATTCTTGACTATTCGGAACGCGTGAAATATATTTTGACAAACAGGATAAACCATGTCAACTAAAAAACTCATTGCACACTCGGGAAATGCAAATGTGTAAAGAACTCGGTGGCTGCCACAGTATGGGAAGGAAACGCGGTGTCTTATGGTCATTCAGACGACGATGCGAATAATATCAGTGGCTTATCTCTGAATGTCTGTAAGTATCGAAGATATAATATTCGGATGAGCAAATGCAAGCTTGTCAAAGAATGATGACATTCATCGAAGATTCACCGTCCACTTCTACGCCTTTTTTCATCCCTTCTACAGCAGTAATTCTTCGCTAGCGCGTAGCAAAGTATCCTATTATTTTTTTGTGTAAACTCGCATTTGAATGCTCAATTTTTTGTATTTTCAAGTAATTAGCAATATTTCATTGTCCAGAAAGCTGATGATATTTTGGCAAATTTGTGAACATTTTAATGCGTTTAAAAAAACTCAATTGAATTGTTCTTCTTCTGCCAAGTATTTGTTTGAGTATAAGGTATTATATATACAGTGAAAATATTAAACAACGACATTCCACACAAATGACTCCTGTTGTAAAAATCCAAATTATCACCATCAGCCATGAAGTTAATTTAAAATAGTAAATATTTATGTATGTATCCATTTTTGTATAGTGTCTATATATTTCAAATGTGCCTGTGCTTATGGGCGTGTTTGTGTGTGTGTGACAGAAAGACAGAGAGAAGGGGGAGAAGACGTTGCACTCTAAAGACTCTGGACAAAGGGGAGAGAGCAGTGATGTTAGACCTTCTCTACTGTCCTTCCGCTCTGGGGGAGGAATTCGGAAAGCTGATGGCGTCACACGTCAACGCCGGGGCAGAGGTCACGACACCGAGCCGTGCGCGCGCGCTGGGGACAGGTGACCGCCCGGGACAGGTGGGACGGGCAATGTCCCCGCGCACCGTCCCCGCATTTCTGGAACGTGCTCAACCTCATGCACCGGCCTGCACTCACGCCCGTGCGTGGAGGGGGGCATAACTGTTTCGTCATACCAGTTTCCCAGATCCCCCTCGCTTCCAGCGTTTTTTTGTCTGGCCCCGGCTTCTTTTTGAATCTTATTTCACATTCCACGGGGTACAATGAGCATAATAAGCGATAGCTGACGCCGCTCTGCTCCGGCCCTTCCTTATTAACCTCACGACACGACGCCACTTCTCGGAAAGTTCCGGAATGTGGAATCGGCGGGGGAGGCAAAGGGCTAGGCGGAGGAGTTCTTGCTGGAAGAGGAACCAAGAAATCTCGGGGTTCTGGTGAAAGGGTCAGTGATATTGGAAAAACGCTCGAATGGTTCATTGATAGCGAAGGTGTGGGCGTTCTCTTTCAGAGATGATTTGTAGACTGGGAATGGGTGAAATATGAGCCACGGTGGGGAACGGTTGATAATACATCTGTTGTGTAAGCCCTCTGTTATACGATCCGGGTGACTAATGCCACTGAAAAGCTATCGTTTTTTCCAGCGAAGAAGACATCACTATACGCTCATGAGAAACGAGACTGAGTTAATTGTACTGTCAAAAAGAATATTGACCTGGACGTTCCTCCCGAAATATTTCAATTTGACTCACAGTAAAGTAAGAAACAATACTTAATTCGGTATGTTTAATGTAATATTATGTAATACAACCTCTGTCATATTACACACAACAAATTCTATTCATGATATCTGGTTTGGAATACTTTTATTTTAAAATTGTAATAAAAGAAAATGCAGGTAAGTAATCATAGATAGAACATTTCAGAGGACGTATAATATGTAGTCAAAAGTCTCCTTTATTACAATATTCTGTAAGGTAATATTTAATTAGCCTTCGGAATCTTTGAAGAATATCAAAACCCTTCATTTGGCGTCGATTAATAGTTTTTTTGAGATAGTATTCATGACGGAGTTATTATCTCTAATATTATATAGAAACATAGTATTTTTATAAATACGAAGAAACAAAATGAACATTCAAAAGAACATATTCATAATTTTGAATGAACACAACAGCGAATATTAAATTCTCCAAAAAGCTTTCATGTCTGAGAATAATGTTAAAATAAATTCGAGGCTTGTAAGTTTTTCCAGCAGACATTTTAGTATCGGTTACCTCTAGATATAAGATATTTTGAACTACCTTTCTCTTTTTCAATTCATCTGTACTTATAATTGAGCCATATATACGTATTTGCATTACTGAAATATTTACTACAGACACTCTCATTAACATAGCGTTTTTTCTATTGATTACATTCAAGTGATTTCACGATGTGTATGAGAATGACAAATAATTGCCGAGTGTGACTGATCTGCAGTTCCCTCTTTTTTCGGGCAGTATATACGATGGCAATTGATATCTCAAATGTACTGTATCTATTCAATCCAAAGTCATTAAATCGAAAAATATCGGCGTGATAATTGCTTAGCGTTGTGGTATTTTTTCCTACTAAATTTTCGGTGCACCTGTTTTGTGAATGTTGAGATGCTTGAGCGTTTCGCATAAGCAAGTCCCATTGATTTTAGTTCAGTCCGAACTTGCAGTCGTCAGGGTCCCAAATTGGACGTCACAAGATTCTCGGACGTGGCTATCAAATGCATTGAGACCATTGTATTCAACATTTAGTACCGGCTGGTGAATGTCACTTCACTCAAAAAACAGTGCACGCATTTTGTGAATGCCAAGAGGTGCTTGAATGTGTTTTATCTGCATATTTACTTTCTCGAATTCGGATTTGGGATGTGATTATCAAATACACTAAATAACAGGGATTAAAATGCATTATATCGTTCGTTCGTCAATGTTGCAATATGAATCTCAACCCTCAACTACAATAAAATACTTCCAAAATACGCATTTGTGAGCGCCGAGTTATTGTTGAGGGTGTCTCGCTCGCATACAGGTATTTTTCTTCGGCAGCTTATTGTCCTCGTCATATGAGTGCAAATTCGATGTCAGCAGGGGATCAAATTTGAGAAACAAATGCATTGAATTCAAATGCATTATGTCTGTCATTTGCTATTGTTGCTGTACGTTTCTTTCGTACAATCAAAATGTTTTGGGAGCGCCTAGAGGTTGGTGAAGGTGTATCATTCTCCCGTTTGTGTTCTAACTTGAAAGTCTGCCAGGGGCATTGTTATCATCAAGAATTTGGCTATCAAATACTCTCAATCGACTTAATTCAAACGCACTGAATCGACCACTGACCTTCATCGATCAAAATGTTCTCCCATTACAATCCACCAATCCCGTGTTCCCTTTCTCTTCAGGTCAGCAAATTTGTTTTCATTGGAGTCACAAATCTGGTCTCAGCTAGGGATCATGTTTTGATTTTTAAATACTCGGAATCAATTTGATTAAAATCGAATGTACCGACCATTGACCAACATGTTCCCCCATTCCAATCAAAGAATCCCGTGTTCTCTCTCTCTCTTCAGCTCAGCAAATTTGCTTTGATCGGAATCACAGATCTGATCTCAGCAAGGGCTCATTATTGTATTATCAAATACTCGAAATCGATTTGATTAAAATCGACCATTGACCAACACGTTTCCCTATTCCAATCAAAGAAGCCGTGGGCGCGCGCGTTTTGTGAATGCAGCGCGGCGCAGCGGGGGCCGGGGGCGACTCGGCGCCGGCGGTGTCGGCGGCTGCAGGCGCGGCCCGCGTGGTGAGGAACGCGGCGGCGGCCGCTCCCGGGGAAGGGTGAAGCGGAGCAGGCCGCGGAGCCTTGGACGATGCCGCACAGTGGGGCAACATCTCAAGAGGCTGGCCAAAATTAAAAAAAATAAAAACGTAATCAAAATGTAATGAACCTTTGTATACAATGGTGTTTGGTCACACCTTACCATACCAATGTCTAAAGTAAAAAATATAAAAAAACAAAGCGGCGCATCCAATATGAAGGATTAAAGATTAAAAAACGTCTAAAAATGTTTAATTTTTCATAAAAAATTGTAAATGAGGTTTCGTGGGTCGCTGATTCCGAATCCAATGTTAACATTGCAAAAAATGGCGGTTCCAATATGGAGGATTAAAAATTCAAAAACGTCTAAAATGTTTCCTCACGAAATGCAGAATAGCAGCCAACAGCGGTTTTTTGACATTTCAATAGCTAAATAGTGGACAAGTTTTTACAAATATTGTTGTAGAAGTCTGCAGAACTTATAATTGTTTTTCACTAAAAAAACAAGAAATTAGTTGTATAATTTTGTTTAAACATTAAATATTAATTAAATAATTAACATGTTTTTTAAAGTATTTGTTCTTTAAAAAGTAGTAAGTATGTAAACAATGTACTCACCATGACGATTTTTGTACATTCTGAATGATGCAAATTGCAGAAAACCAAAAAGAGCTGCTTAACGGCCACGTTTCCAATTACGCAGAAAGTCACTGTAATGCATAACCGCAAACCGTACCAGACACTCTGGGAACCACTTTACCCACCTGCTTACTAAAACGCCCCTAAATAAAAACTATTTTTTCGACTACTTTTGGCCAGGCTTTTGGGATTTTGCTCCAATGCGCCGCCGCTGCGCCTTGGCAGGCGGGCGAGGAGCTGTTACCTGGGCGAGGGCGCGAGCGGCGCGGGGAGCGGAGGGGAGGGCGGGGAAGGGCGCAGGGCAGGGCCGGGGCGGCAGGCGGCGCGGCGCGGGGCGGGGTGGCGTATAAAGTCGGAATGCTCGCCCCGCACCCCACTCAATCCCAAGACTTCGGCAGGGCGACATGGCGAGGACGGCGACTTCTGTCACGGTGAGTTCCTTTGGGCGGTGCCGCTTCTTTTGTTGCATTGTTTGGTCTATTGTTAGCCCTAATTAGTACATCCGAGGAGAAACAGCTTGTAAAATTATGGAGGAGTAACAGGAGTTTCCTCCATTTTCAGAAGAAAGGTGTTTTTATAATCCTGCATTTAGCTTTTTTTTCATGGCTTACGATTTTTTGTTTGGAGCTTCCGAAAAACCACTCTCGACAACTAGTTAATAGAATTAGGCGTTTGAGAATATAAAAAAGATAGTATGCGTAATTATTCACGACTAGAAACACTTCTTTGAGTGCATGAGTGGAAAAGGAAGTCCAATAGTGAAGTATTTCTGAAATGCTGGAATTCAATTATTTTCACCTAATTTAAAACGTAAATTCAACCCGATTTTTAACCAGGTATTAAACATGCAATTTACTCAACGAGAAACCGCAACGAGAACTCTTGTAACGCGATGTTTTTCTGTTTCCTGATCAGCGCTCTTCGGCCGAGCGTTTCGCTGCAGCGTGTGTGGTTTTTCGTGATATCTACTTTTCCTCCATTGCGCTCCCGATGCTCGCATTTTCTTTCCTTGCGCGCCGCGGGGGAGGGGGCAGGGGCGGGGGTTCACTTCCATTTTCACTCCTTTTGCCGGCGAGCTCAAGCTGAGAAGTTTCTCCTCCGGAGGCGCCTCCTCTCGCGAGACTCGGCGATCGGGAAAAGGACGTAGGAGGTTCTGAAGAAGGCCGCGCATCGCTGCTTGGGTAACACGGTAACAGAGAAGGAAATGTGGACCTGGGGATTTATTTAATCCCGGTATACAACTTGATAAGTGAACTTTTTTGCTAAAAATGAGTTTGGTATTCCACTGAATTCTCCTAATTACTTTGTATACTGTTATGAATAATCACGTTAAATTTCTTCTGTTTGATGAGTAATAGGCGAATATAATAGTACATATTTACCAGTATAATGTTAACTTCATAAAATTGTAAATCATATCAAGATAACTCATGTTGTCTGATTCTTCACGCTAAGCAACATTAAAAATGTGAATGAAGGAGACACCTTGTACTCGCTATTCTTCTCTCTATTTCTAGAAGTTAAAAAATCTGATCATTTGAGTATATGTTTGTTCAGGGCAATGGAGAAGTGACCAAGGGAACTATTGCTTCTCAATTTCATGGTTTTCGTTTCATATAATTTATTATCTGAGTGTATTTATTTATATAATTTTATAATAAATGTTTTACTGGGTGCGTTGTTAACAGCTAAAAGAACCGAACATTTTTGTTACTGTTATATTTAGAGAAACGGGAAATGAGAGCCAATGCGTTTTATATTTCGATGTTGTTATTTATTTTTTGTGTTTATATCACAGTACACATTTATTATTCCTGGAAGTGTTTTTAAGAGTGAAAGAATCCTATTATTTGAATAAAACGCATTCAAACAAAAAAGTAGAGAGTTTATCACTTTACAATTTAAGTGTTTATTTTTCTCGTACTTATTAGGTAGAAAATGTTTTCGTTCACGAGTGCGTTGTTATAAAGAAAAGAATAAATATTATAATTTGAATAGAACGATTAAATGATATAAGATAAAAACTAAAATAAGAAAACTTCACATACTTCACTTAGTGCTTCCACAAGGCCCTGCATAAACAATTTCGCTTGTATTGTACATTCGATTAGAATGTGAAAATCACAAAATATGCTGTTGGAAAAAATGTAATACAGAATTGCGCCACCACCTCCAATTTCGTTTAAATCGCGAAAACCACCGTAAAATTGTAAATTGTAAATTTCCTTTTTTATGCGATTAAAAAAACTAGAGGATGGTGGCGCAATTCTGGTTGCCGATTCGGATTCAACGCGTCGACATACATAGAGAAAAATGTGTTAAGTCTGACAACTTTTTTGTGTGCCTGCATAATGTATAATTTAGGTTCTAGGCTAGATATTATTGTGCTCTAATTCTTTCTCAGTAGTCGACCCCTACAGCGCCCGACCTACCGCATCGAATCACTTTTCCAACGGTCAGCAAACATTTCCAGCGGGATTGACTTTATGGCGGCCATAAACCCATTATTTCTTTGGGGCTGCGATGTTCCTAGCGCGACGAGGACTGAATGAAAGCAAGGGCCTTAACCTGCCAGCACACTGGGTCGAGGGGATGGAAAGTTGTGCATTACAAACGCAAAAACGAAAACAAAGGCGTCTCAATATTTTATTTTTATTTTTAGGACCAGACAGTGGGATAGAAAGGAGAGGAGCAAAAGAGAGAGACCAACAAGTACTATATCTCACGTCGGTGTCTACTATGGCACCCGCGTCATTGTAGCATCGCCGATTAAGTTGAGAGATAGGTCATATAAGGTTGTGGAATCAAACCAACGTTCGGCCCTCAGAACGGGAATTGCGCATTTATTTGGCGAGAACTAAATCAAGTGGATGAATAGAACAGTGGAGTGCACTGTAGAAAGGATGGTGATTCAAAATGTTCTGTTAATATTACCGGTTTGAGGCCGCTTAGCAAAAGAAAATGGTCAATTTGATGCGGTAAATTTGACTCACATCACTCATATTTATAGGTCGACGGAGAGGCAGCTGCCCTCGGCTTGTGCGGTTAACATAAAACATCCTTGAGTACAAGTCACGCAAAATTTTTATTATCATCTAGTGCACTGACTCTTGTATATATTTCTATATTTCGTTTAAATTGTTTTTATAAATAGTGAGTTTTCATATGCGTTTTTTATATCGAGAGCTTGTGTTTCATTATATTTGTACTGTTTATATATTAACAACTTTGTCATACTTTATTTGGTCCTTTAATACTGACTGACAATGTTGAAAAATCTATAAACAATAAAGTAAATATTAATTTTTATATATTAACATCAGTAAATTGTATTTTTAAATCTTCAAAAATCTAAATTTTCTCTTATGTTCGTGTATTCATTGTAACCAGAAAATGGAAAAAAAATCCATTTTCTCGAGAACAATCTTTGACTACCTAATGAAAAATAAAAACATTTATGTTTGAAGATACAGCTTATGTTTACTCACTTCTATGGGGTAACTACTACTAAAGTATTTCTCTTAAATGCGCGCATTGCACACGTGGCTCATTTATCTGTGGGAGTTATGCTTTTGTCGAAATATATTGTCGAGCAGGAATGTTGGCAAGGCGCGCAAGGAAGGATCGCGTGCTGTCGCACATTTGGTTCATTGTAAAAGTCTCGGATTCAATATTTGTCTGAAATTGATCGGGAGAAAACGGGAAAATAATTAGTTTTAGATGGTAAGGTGTGTATTTCTTTGTGTCTCTACAATTCTCATTCAGGGAGTGATGTTTTTGAAACATTGTCCAGCCCATCTACATTTCTTGTACCAAAATTCCTCCATTGTTTGGTATCATACTACGACTAGCAGGTCTGCGAAACTAAATTTTATTTGCTTAAATAAAAGTATACTGACAAATCTCTCTCCACCAGTGTTTCCATATTAGCATACCTATTGAACGAACTTGATAATCTTATTTAAAGAATTTTTTTATAAAGGGCGCAATATTCACATCTCTAGCTATTATCCATTTGCACACGATCCATCTACACAATCTTCGTTTCGATACAACCATAAAAATTCAAAATGTACTCTAAATAAATCTGGGTGAACTTTGTGGAAATTTAATGTTGTTTAAATAATTCCTGACGATTTATTTCCTACAGTTATTAGCCCCACTCAGTTGTGTGGTTCGCAAGACCTCTTCCCCGCCCGCGCATGCCTGTAAGGACCGGGTGGGTTGGAGTGAGTCGCACTCGCCCACGGAGGCTAGTCCGAATGGTTTATTAAAGGAATGATGATGAGAAGGAAAAACCACGCGAAGCCCGTAGAGTAAAGTGATGATCAGGCACTCCCCTAGAAGATACCAGAAAAATTACGGATACCTCTGATAAGAGCAAACGGCCCAAGATTTTCATCCCGGCAGCCTACGGGAAGTACCGGTGTTAAATACATCAAGCAAATCTCTGGCACCTCGCCGGGATCGAAACTTTAAGATTCTAAATAGCTGGTACGCTCGAGTCGTAAGCCATTGCTTTGTCGCTTGCTGTCTCAGGTAGACGTTGCAAAGTGTTTCTGCACAAAAATAAGAATCAAAAAAGACTTTTACGAATAATAATTTCATGTTCTCGGTGACACGAATTCGTATTTTTTGAATAATTCCAATGATGGGGTAAGATTTGTGAGAGAAGCAAAGCACTTGGAAATATCTCATTTGATTCTTGTTACGAAAGAAATTAGAAATTATTTTCACGATTTACTTTTATGTTTGAAAAATACGCAAGAGTGCGAATGTATTGTATTATGACTAATTCCTATAGCCCTGTCCAATTCAGAAGTGTGTCTCAATCTGATGGAACTGTGATAAATGATTCACAAATGTTTATTCTTTAGCTTTCTCCGTGATATTAATGATTTGAATAATACAGTTTTCTGTTTTGAATTTTCAATTAAACCAACTTTTAATTAGTTGATCTAATTTCTAAATTTCATTTGAAATAATTACTCAGTGCTACGCGAAAAACTCCGGTAGTATTCGCAGTTCGTGGCTGTTCGGCCAGGCCCAAACTGGGCTGTAGTGTAGAGCTGTCAGTAAAAATAAAATATTATTTCATTTTAATTGTTTATGTATCACCTAATAAATGAGCAGTTTCTCCCGGCTACTCTACTCAGTCTCTACCTCTATCTTTTGTCAAATTGTCCAAATTTTTTCAATTTTTTACGATGATAGTGGAAAGAGAAAAAATCCAGTGTTGTCAATCTAATAACTACCCACATGGTTTAGATCGGAAATATTTTTTGATACTAAAAGGTTTGACTTGACCATCACAGCAGATGTGTGAGGCCACTGGTGTCGCCGTTCGGGCCCACTGTCCCAGATTTCGCTCTCTCCGTCGCGCGTGATCGCCCTTACGCCAGATTTACGACTGTCTGAGGGCTCCTCCCCCCTCCCCCACCTCGCGGCGTCTTCGCGTGTCATCTCCTCCGCTCCTCGCGCAGCGGCGCTGCAGCCAAGGGAGCGAAGGCGGGGACGTGACATAAGCGGTGGGGATGGGGGTGGCGATGGTTGCTGTTTCCGGCCACGTCAACTTCTATGGTCGTTAGTCCAGTTGGTATAGTTCTTTATGCCTGGATATGGCGGTGTTGCTCACCAGCAGGATGATGAGATCCGGCACCGACCTACTCGTCGGCTTGCGGGGAAAATATCCTCCATCTTATCTAGAGGGGCACCGCCCCATTTACGACTAGCTTTAAGCACCCAACTGGTGTCTCGACATGTGTTGTAGTGTAGAATATGTACGGGTGTGTAAGAGGAGAGGGTAGGGAAAGGAAGGCGAAGGAATGATCGCGCACTGTACGTGGCCTGCTTGTTAGGATTCTGCTTCGCCTGGTATTAATCGGAGAAATCACGGAAAACCTCTGATCAGAGCAACTGGCCGCTAGAATTCTCTGCCAGTTGTATCCTACCTAGCTACTAGCTTATTGTTCACAGTTAGTATTGAAAAGCCACCAACGGCGGGACTCGTAATCTAGGATCTCCCGATAAGAATAGCTGCAGACGAGGCCGCAGTGCTGGCTCTGAGCTAAACTCAACCCGTGATGGTGATGTTGATGGACACGGTAGCGTCAGCAGCAGAGGTGGTGGAGGTGGCGGGCATTATAGGATCAGCGGTGGGGGTGGTGGCAAAAACGGTTTCAGCGGTAGTGTTAATGGAAGAAACGTCAGTGTCAGCAGGGGTGATGTTGATGGAGGATATGGTGGTTTCAGCGACAGAGACGGTGGTAGTCAGGGTAGTGTTAGCAGTGGTAGGGTTGATGGAGTACATGGAGGTATAAGGGATGCTGGTGGAGGTCACTGCGACAAGAGCGGCTCGGAACTGATAGTGTTGGCAGTCACGGTGACATTATCGGTGTTGGAGGAGGCAGCAGTGGCGGTAGAGGTTTATTTATTGTATTTTATCTATTGAGGTTTCAGAATTCAACTGTTAACGCCGTATTAAGATATGAGCTATTGAGAGTGTTAACGATAATGATGTAGTAAATGATGGTCGAGAAATGGTTATGGAGGGGTAGGAGAAACGGGAGAACCCCAATAAAACGTAACAAGGGCACGGTTGTGCACACAAATGCCACGCGAATTGCTAGAGAATCGAATCCGGGCATCGAGGGTAATTGGCGTAAGCGCCAGCTCTCAAGTCACCAACCCACTCCTTGTGGTGGTAATGGTGGTGGTAGTGGTGATGGTATTGGTGGTACTGGTAGTGTTTTTGGCGATCATAACTGTGTTCGGAATGGTGATTGCGGTAGCAACGGTGTAAGGGCCGGCGACGCTATAAACAAAGGGCAGATGATAATATAGTGGTGTTTTTTAGGTTGCGATGAAGTTGCTGTTATCCCTACTCTCGATACTTTGGAGGTATTAAAATTGTACGCTAACGTATTTGCTCTGCGCACAATTTAGATTAGGCTGTGATTGGTTCTCTACCTCTTTAACCTATTAATAAATAATATCAGAGAGAGAATGATTATTTATGAACAGTTGATAGTGATAAACATGAATCAGTTAACGTGTGCACTCTGTGAAAATCTGTCATATGTGACCCTGACTTATTGCACATCGACAGGCCTCGGACAAGTGCACAATTTGCATGTGGGTAGAAGGTAATGCCAGCTGATTTTGAAGTGTCTCTCGTATGAATTGGCGCGTGTTATGTATCATTGTACTGTGTCGAATGGGAAAATAATAGTAAAGTGTGGCATTGAAGAACATAGTTCTTAGTGGAATGAATTGTTTTGGTTCAGGTGTTGACGCATTTTTGAGATCGAGGTACTTAAGTCAGGGAATTACCTCTTCCCCCGAAGGTCTGCATCAAACTGACAAAAAGGTGAAAAAAATTGCACACCGCCTGAGGTGGCTCAGGATATCAACACCTGTCACTGCAGTACCTCTGAGCGGCAGGTCCTAGGGTTCGAATCCTGAAGGTGGCAGGATTTTCAACAGTAGTTACATAAGTCGACTTTAACTACTGTCGGGAGAAGAATTCTAGCGACCAGCTGTTCTGGCCGTTTTCTCACACCAATACCAGGTGGATGTTGAAGCAGTATGTTAACAAAAAGGCCACGGATCATGCGCGATATTTTCTTCCTCGTCGTCCCTAGTATTCTTAGGCAAGGAGTTCGAGGCTTTCAGCATTAATTCTCTGCGTGGATCATGTTTCGTATTTATCAATGTGCTGCGACTACTATTCATAGAAATATGATTCTTTTTGGGATACAGTTCTGTCACAATTTCAAAACGAAATTCATTCCTTTTTGCATTTAAATATTCGTAATACATTTACAATGACTTTTACAATGTACCACACAAACTACCACATCAATCAGAGCGTATTGAGTGCTCATGTATCTTTTCTCATCGTGGGTTTGTTTCTTCATTGATTTAATCTTAAAAGATTCTGAAACCTTTAACCTTTTTCTGTACCGATTTCCCCCACCATTTTCTTATACTACTGACCATCCTTAATCACTCTGTAATCACTCATTTGGTTACCCAAATACGTAAGAATGTGTGTTTATGTATTTATTCATTAGAACTGCAGCACATCCTGATTCTTCTAATGTCACTTTCAGTTTTTTATATCAATTCTAGTTATTCTTCTACCATCCACAATTTCTGCGTAATTTATCGTGACTTTTTAGTCATTATCGCCAACCTTTGACTCGCCATTATCTGGCACTAATGCTTCTGCTTCTAATACTGCTACTCGGGCAATGTTTCTTGCTGCTACTACTCCTAAGCTGCTGCTAGTAATGACATGTATTCTTGAGCGCCCCTCGACCTCCGCTGCAGTTCGCTTTCGCTGCTTCTCTTCACCCCTTGGCACTCGCTCCCTTGCGCCCCAGATCCTCACCCGCCGCGCTTCGAGCCTCGTTAACGACATTCTTCACAGGTTTCGTCGACGAAAGTGACGCTTGCTCTAGGTTCATTAGTGACGTTTTTAAGGATAACCACATCCCGTAAATGAATCCGGGGTTGTTGACCGTTTGCCAGTTGATAAGCGAACGAGAGTATAATTTCGAAGAAGAGTGGCTGAGAAACGACTTCCAACGCTACACTTATTACTAGTACTATAATTTGAGATACAATTAAGTTCCACATTTTTCATAGAAATTTCATTGATGAGAAGGGATTGTTAATGGTTAATTCAGTTTTTTTGACGAGTAGTATATAAGTTGTGATGAGTGTGCAGTAGCTTACTTTGTCAAAGTAATATGCAGTAGTTAGTACAATACGTAAGTTAAATAGTGCGTTGCGATTGGGTATTTGCGGATTGAAATGCATTTTAAAAAACAGACCCAGTAAAAATGGAGAACATTTTCATGTTTCAAATGTGTCACAATCTATGCAATCAACAGCGTTACGGTCATTGCCTTTGTAAAGCGTGATACTTGAGCTATCATTCATTAAACATTTTCTTACACAGTAGCATTTAACCAAATATAAAATACATTTTTTGTTCCATTAAAGTTGTTATTTACGAAATGTCAATATTTTATCAGTTTCGAGCAATTTAATTCTAAAAACAAAATTCTTGAAAATTTCTTCCACACCTACTTAACGCTTTCTGTCAGTCGTCCTTTCTTGTAATTCTATTAAGACCTTCAACTTTTTATATCAGTACGAGTAGCAACAAAATTGGCTTAACGAGCTAGTATTGTTACCGACAATATAGCTACATCATATGCCGCAAACAGATAAAAATCCAGGGAGTAAAAGTCAAAAATAACTATTTTTCAAGAGAAAGGGGATTCGAATCCAAGTTAACATTCTTGATTGCCTTTTTTTAGGTTGAAGCTCAGAAGACAAATATTTGAATCACACCACACGTTTAGATCCATGAATATCTTGTGTTCTATAAAATGAATATCACGAAATTTTAGAACTTATTTTTTTTCCAAGCGCTCTCTTCCTCCCCGTTACTGGACCAGCGCCCGTAAAAGTTGTCATTTTTCCCGCAGGTGGTGTTGGTGGCGCTAGCGGCGCTGTCGAGCAGCGGCCGCGCCTTCTTCCTGCCTTCCTACAGCTCCAGCAGCTCCACCAACTCGGGATACAAGAAACCGTAAGTGCGAGGGGCCCGTGACGGAGCCACATTTCACGTTGCGGGATTGCTCCTAACGCTGAAGCATTTGACCCACTTGGCAACACCACAAACCTTGAGAGAGGCGGTGCAAGTCCACACTAGTTAAACAATAACGTTGCATTTATTATTTACGAAATAAAACAAGTAGTATAGTAATATGATCTTATAACACGATTATGGAACAATGTTTTATCCCCTTTGTAAAATCCTAATGCACTACCATTTTCGTTATATTTGACTGACAGTCAGATAAATAACGAAACGCTTGAGCTATAATAATACTAATTATGCAACAAACTATAGTTGTTAGCTAGTGGCTTGCAGTAGCTAAAATGCGACTGAACACAATCAGACAAAATGGTTTTCCGAAACGTGGCTCGCATATTGATAAAAAAGAAATAAAACACTCTCATATAACAATGTAATGAATTAAATATTTTAATAAAACAGTATTCACATAAACTGCAATCACGTTATTTTCATACCAAATTCAAAAATATTGCTGTTCTATGAGATGTACGGACGACCTCTTCCTTGGAGCTTTGCTGTCGCATGACGTCAGCTGTGTCATAATACTATAATATTAAGATCATGTAACTATAGTGCATTGTTTGAGTGGGACAATGTGACAGCGTGCAATAGGCGCAGTATGAGAATTGGCAAAATTACACAATCTAATATTTGTATTTCTCACTCAAAATCGCCACGATTCATTGTTTTTATCTGCACAGTTTTCTTTTAATATCTGCGTGCATTAGAAATTTGTAGATTGTGAACCAAGGATTATTAAAAAAAATTATGTTCCAATAAATGTTATTACGCCACTGACCTCAATTTTGTATAGTTTGCTTTTAGGCAAATGATGTTGATGAAATAAATAATTACACTGACCGAAATTTAGAGTAAGAATTTTTGTTACTGAGCAAACATTTCATTGTCACAAACGCAGTTTCCCTCAGGAAGTTTTTCTCACCCTTACTCTTATTCGTGAAACGACCACCATCGCTTCCCTTCTTGCTAATGGGCGTTGGAAAGATAATTCTGTTTATTTAATAATGGATCATCTTAAAGTCAAATTGTCTGACCCTAAGGGTTCCTACGATCTCCACATTCATTCGTTCAATTAACATAAATTCATTTACATAAATAAGTCAGTTCTGTGAGGGGCCAGTCGTCCGTAGTGTTCATAAAACCATAAAACTAAGTTAAAATTTGAAACAAAAAATACATGATAACCCACTTATTAGGGAAGTTTTCTTTGTTTTTCTCTCATTCATTAATTGAATACGTCAAACTAATTGTATTTCCATTCAAATATTTTTTACCTGGATATAATATTTCTTGTTCGAATAGCATACACTGACACGAAGGAGATCTTTAAATATGAGCATCTTTTGTTGCTTTTGCGAATTTACTGATGGGAAGATTTTATATATCAGAAAAAATATTTTATGACATTCATGTAGTTCTTTCCTATCTTACTGATATTCAAGCCTCGAAATTGGTCTGAGAAACATGTTTTTGAGATTGCTACAAATGGCCAGCGCAATGTATTTCACGTTGAAACAATTAATGCGGTTTTTGCTAATTATAAAATATCCACCTGCATTACAAAATAAGAAGCTACATTTTCTCTAGTTATCGTGTTATCGTAAGAAATACGTTGAATGCACAATATATAAATAAAAATATTAGAAGAGCTTTGGGCAGTAAAAAAATAAGACACAAGCGATTGTAAGCCTCCGTTAATCGTAACACGAATTTCGAATTGGGTGTAAGTGTGGATTATTTGTTGTCACTATGTACTGAATGCCTGGTTCATATTAATTAAGGGCTTGAGGAAGTAAGAACAGAAGGCTTCGACCAACATCGGGTTATCATCATTTAGGAATAGCGGGAAGCTTGATGTGAATGGCGTGGCCTATATTTTTATTGCTGCAAGCCTTTCAAAATATACTTTATTGTATGCGTACTGCAAAGAAATCATGTCCATATAAAACAACTACGAGAAGTAAACAACACAGTGGTGGCGTCACTAATCAACATGGGCGCCACCTCACAAATTTAGAATTGACCCTAATACAATATACCTGTAAGTGTTCAAGAATAATACTAATGTAAGAAAGTCGTAAGAAAATGTTTTTGGTATAACAATTTCGTGATACCAGACTCGGCTCATATCGTCGCCAAGTCCATTTCTTTCGTACGCCAAACACTTTCCGAACTAGCAACGCAAATAACTAGTACGCTGAACACGGGAGGAGGTTCTGCAGCAATTATTCCCCTGCCAGCGTATGTGAGGGCTGCTCTGTGTCCGCAGGGAGGTGTGGACGACGCAAGAGTTCGGGCAGTACGCGCTGGGCGGGCACGCCCTCCCGCTGGCCGTGCCGTACCCGGTGCCGGTGGGGCGCCGCCCTGGCGCCCAGGTACCACCCGCGGGGGGTGGGCCCGCCGCCGCGCGCGCCGGCGCCCTGCGCCGCCCGCCCCGCGCCTGGTCGCGCGCTGCCGAGCCCAACACGTGGACGTGCCCTACTTGGAAGGGCCGCCGCGCTTGCGCGCGCCGCGCACGCGCTCGTCCGCATCCGCGGGCGCTCGAGGAGGCGCCGGCCGCCAACGGTGCCAGACGCAGCAAGCCGGCGCGGTCGTTCGCTGCCGCACGCGCGGCTACGCGCCAACGCCCCCGCCACACCCGGCCTGCACGCCTAGCAGCATCGTCTCTCCCCGCCCGCCTGGCCAAAGGCGCCGTTCCCGCACCACTCACCCTACAGCGGCCCGCTCTAAGGCCACGCCCTCCTTAATCCCTAACCTGGCATGGACCTGTATCACCGCCCCTGTGCAGCCACCCTTGCAACCACCACCGCCTCAGATCGTCAAACAGATGCGAGGCCAGAGCAGGTCGTCGCTCGCGTGCCGGCCGCGCCCGGGATAAGGGTGGCCCCGGTCTGGCACCCCGCTGGCCCACCCGGGGTTTCGCGCACGACCCGGGCCCCACACAGCCTGCCCACGCCGCGCTCAGCCAGTCCCTAGCACGCCCCTCGTCTCTCTCACCCGCTCGGGGCCCTAGCCACCGCTGCGCCCCCATAACGGCACCGACCAGCACGCCCAAACGCCTCCACTTACCTACTAACCTACGCGCGCCCTAATTCGCACGCCTGCCTCAAGCTTGCTCCACGCTGGGGCACGCCGCTGGCCGCCAGCAGAAATCCGCGCCACACCCTAATCACCGCCTGCCTGCCTCACACAAACTCGCCACGCGCCTCATGCTAAATAATAAAATAAGAAAAAAAAAAAAAATAAACAAAAAAAAAAAAAAAAAAAAAAAACGGGCTCCGCCCCAGCCACCCGCTCCCTGGCGCAACCACTGTCATCGCTCGCCACGTCCGCCAGCCCTCAACCTTGCCCCCCCGCGCAGTCACGCTCTCATTTCACTCCCCCCTTCCTGACACTGCTCCACTCGCGCCCAGATTTCTTGCCACCCCCGCCCGGCCGTCGCGCCAGTCCGCGCCGTCGCTGTCGCAGCCGGCCAGCCCGGCCGCCCGCACCGCTCGTGCAACCGCCGTCCACCCAATTCGCCTTCTCGTCCTTAGGCTCAGTTAACCAGCACAGCAGCTGGCTTTGTAGCGATTTTGACCGGGAGGTACAATGGTGCTACATAGCTATGCCAAATTCAGCCGCTCTGTGGAGGAGAATTCTAGCGTCCAACTGCTCTGATCTGTAGTTTTTCACGCCTCCAACCGTAACAAATGGACCGCACTTGACCTTTCATTCCTCTCCCTTGTACTATCCCATTTTCTCCTCTTACTCATACCCACACTAACATACCACACATATCGGTAGTCTAGTTGGGAGCTCAGAGCTTGTCCCGGCTGGGACGATGTCCCGCTGTGGAGACACAGAGAGGGACTAATCCCCCGCAAGTCGACGAGTAGGTCGGCGGCAGATCTCAGCGTCCAGCGGGGGAGCAACACCACGATGTTCAGCGGAAGAAATACATTAACTGCACTAATAGGACTAATGATCACATCACTTGACGTGCCTGCGGTTATCAACCTATTTCTCAGTGACTTCCAATCAAGCGGATTTCTCAGTGACTTCTGCCTCGCACAACTCCATCCCACCCACTCGCCCCACCTCGCTTCGTCCTAAACTACCTCACCCCGACTTACCTCGCTCACCGGCCAAGCATTGCTCTGCCCGGCCTCACTTCGCCTCAACCCCGACCCACCTGCCTCATCCCGTCCCTCCCCTAAAGAGTTTAGAGTTAGAAGGTAGTGTAAGTGAACAATTGCATATCTGTATTTTGGTTTAAATACGGTGGAAACTTCGCTTTGGATGGATTGAAGAATGTTTTATGTTAATCGTGGTCCCCGAAGACCGGGGTCTCACCGTCGACTTGGAAATGCGTGAGCAAAAGTGGTCAAATTGGCCGATTGTTTCGCTAATCTATCTCAACCACCTCATACAAGTATACGTACGTTTATAAACACGTACAACAATCTGAATCATCCCCTTTTAGGCACGTATTCACTTTACTTTAGCGGTTTGTCATAAAAAGGGTGCGTTTCCCCGCTTTCCTTGCTGCTTATGCTTCACAGTATGCATGGCGCTATTGATTATCAGAAACATAATCAACGTAACAAAATAAGGAAACTGACATGAGTCCATTTTTCTTTGCAGAGACTGATAGTAACATTCATGGCAATTCCAAACTATTAAGATATTTGACAATGGAAGGTCGAAATTTCTTTATTTACGCAGTTGTGTCAGCATTGTGGCAGTCCACGATCATTTTATTACATATTTCTAGTTGTAATGAAAATGATAAAGTTAATATGTTGCAACGATGACCGAACTCGAAATGCATGATTTTGAGTTATAAAATTGAATAAAATAACGGTCATAAAAATCTTCTTTTAGGACCATTAATGTTTGACCCATAATTCATCAATTATTTAACATGTAATATGTGCATTTAAACCGCCATCACAAAATACACGTATATTACATAACTCTAGTTCTTGTAGCTGTGTCGGTATTGTAACTCCATGACCGATGTATATCATATTTCAAAATGTAATGTACATTTTCTCATTTTTGGCATATTGCGCTTTATACAAAAGTAATAAAATTGATAGTCCAAATAATTAATATATTTGGTTCCAAAATGCATAACCTTTCTTTAGTCACACGGTTTTTACAACTATTCACTAACTTCTCCATTTTTTTCTAGACCAATCTAAATCTTTGAGATGGTTAATGTAAATATTTGCCTATTTTCGTTCATCTTCCTAAATGAGCTATTCACTAATATGCCCTGTAATATTTTAATTCATATTAAATATAATAAACTTATTAATACCATTGTTTGGTCTTTGATGTTCTTGATTTTGTTTTTCTATATATCTCTAAGTTTACACATTTAAAACATAGTATATTAAATATTATTTTAATCTGCGGCAACATATTTTCATTTTATGAGTTTCTAGAACGAATGCAACCAATCTTTGATCAGTACTTTTGAAGGAAAATCAAGAATATATGTTAGTTGTTACTCATTAACACAAACAAATATTTTTCAGAGCAAATATTTTATGCACCAGACACAAATAATACAGGTGAATGATACTTTCGGTACACATTTTTAATTTCCAGATGAAGCGGAGCAGCGTTCCATAGCTTGCAATTAACTGAATAAATTGTAAAGGAAAGCGAATTCCACGAACGAACAGAGTAATTACGAGAATTGAGACTCGTGTCACTTCATTTTGCTCTGGAAAGCAACGTTTGATTAATCTGAACGAAAGTGTATTTCAGCAAAAAGAAGTTCGAGGAACAAGGGAGACCCGGCAAATGGGAAGTTGTCTCCGGTGGGAGATTGTTGTACGAGACTTTCGCCTTTACTGGGGCTCATTGCTCGGGAACCGGTCGGGCCACTACCAACATTTGAGACATAACTCGCTTAGGGACGTATGTGGTAGCGGCGAGCAAAAATTACATTTTAAATGTTAGTATAAGAATAAAAAATATTAAATTGTCCATATTTTGAAGTCCAAAAATTGAATTTTGACAATAAATCCTAGTTTGTTTAATTTTAATTTGTCTAGTATGTTACTTCATATTGAGATCGATTTTACTTACTTAGAATTAATATAAAATATTATTAAATTTTAATGTTTGACTTGAAAAAATGCTACCATTTAGTATTAGTGAAAAATATCTCCTATTTCAATGTCACATGTTTCATTATCGTGAAAGTCCTTTTTTATACAACTGCGTCAAATCTCTAATATTACTGCTGTGAATTACAGGATAATGTTCTTGCGTTGTTAATTTAAGCGTTCCAGTGGGTCCACTCAACAACAGTAAGAAAATCAGTAGGTAAATAAGGAAAGTATTGGAATTACGATCATGAGAATGTCTTGAGAAACCGCTACCTTGAGTTTAAAACCGCTCTTCTGCATAATGACATTTTTAGGTGTGACACTTTTATTCCGAACCGGCAATATAACAATGTTATAAGAAATTCATTTTATTTAATATTATTGTAATACTGCACTGTTATAATATCGGCAGGGACGCAACCTAACAGACGAACGAAATGTCACATTTAATGGCAGACATCCGTTAAGAATATTTCAGTGTGCCATTCGTTAATAACATTCGAAATAAATTAGTTGTACCAAAAGAAATAAACATGCCAAAAAAGGGTATTTTTATTTATTTCTATCTATTTTATTTCTAACTTTTCGCGAATGGATGAGTAATTGGAAATTCATATATCAGACTTACACATACAATATTTGCCCCTGATTGTTAAGAAACCCAATACGCACAGGTATTCCTGTGCGTATGTGACGCCTTTACATGCCCTAGAAGATTGTAACATTTCTTCAGAGACGTGCGCTTTTGCAGATGGTGCACGCGCACTTCCACTGTGTGTGCAGCCGCGATCATTTGCACAGATGTTCGGCAGCTCCATGAAATCTATTTGACTGCTCATGAACTGTTTTGCAGGACCACCAACATGGCAGTCCTGCAAAACATCTGTGCATAAAAGTTGTGTAACAATCATGAGCATATGTGACATGTGTAATCCCTAATATGATATCTCCCACTCATGTTCCTTTGAAAAAATCACTAAGTTTTGATCCCTTTACATGCCTAGAAGATTGTAACATTTCTTATGCGACCTTCTGCGCCTTTGCAGATGGCACACGCGCCGCTGGCATTGTCTGCGCAGCCGGCGCTAGGGGCCCCGCAGGCGCAGGCTTTCGCGCAGCCCTTCGCGCAGCCGTTCGCGCAGCTGCCGCAGCTGGCGCCGGTGCCGGGCGTGGGCGGGGCGGCGGCGGCGCTCTACCAGTCCATGCAGCTCGTGCCCTGCCTGTGCTCCGTGCCCAAGGAGGACGTGGACGACGCGGCCGCCGCGGGCAACTCGGTGGCAGTGAACGCGGCGAGCGCCCCGCCGCAGCCGGGCCACGGCAACTGACACGCGGCTCCCGTCGGGGGCCCCGCGCCCTCGCCGCCGCCCTCCCCGTTCCGCTCCTCGGAAGCCCTCTTCGTGCCCTACCCCGCGCCCACGCGCCTCTGCAAGCGCCTGCAGGCCACCCTCGCGGTGGCCCCCTCGCCCGTGGAAGAGCTGCAAGCGGATGAGAGATAACTCGGCGGAGAGGTCTTTTATTTTTCCCGTGTCTCAGAATTAACGTTACAAACTTCTCGAGCATGTGAGGAGTCGAAGATATTCACTTTTTACCGATGCAGATGTGGTGAAGAATATCATAAAACGAAGTCAAACTTGAGGAATTCGGCGCTAATTGTTAGGCATCTCATCATACACTGGCGTTTAGCATGTCATGTTTTCACGCGAGATTTCATACACTCGGCGAATAACGATGTACGAATATTTGCCTACCAATTAGGAGAAATATCACACATGTATAACCTCGTATGTTTTCACCTCGTGTTCATTAGAAAAAGTAATTATCTTCGACATCCACAGGCTGTTTGTATAACGTTTGTATAAGTTATTCGGAACTTTTGTACACATGTACGTGTTTCGTATTCTTCACTTTCGTTTAATTTTGCGTAATCCTTCCGTTCAAAAACTTAAATCCAAAGAGAAAATTAGAATTATCTTAGGATTGTGGAACTCTACAGACGATTCAAAGAAGGTAAATAACATTTTGTGGAGAGTTATGCCGTATAATAAACACAAAGATACTCGTAAAATGCTCATTCACAATATATTTATAATTTGTATTAATGTTGGATGCAGCATGCTTCTTGCATAAAGAGTATTAACAGAAAGTTACTCTCAAATAAATGTAATTCAATGCTGTAATAATTCTGAATTGAACTATAAAATTTTGTATTTAGTGCGAAAATCTGAATTATTTTTGTTTCGAATGCTAATGTGTTTTCAAAAATATTCAGATAATATTAAGTAGCTCACTGAACACTACATGTTTTGAACTGAAGTGATTACGCTTTTTGTCTCGGAAGTTCCTGTAGTAATACGTTACTGTGGAGAACTCCTTGAGAATTTCGAAGATTTCATACAAAAATTTACAGAAAAAAGAAGGTTCGCCCAGAATATTTTCCCCTAGCGAACAAAGAAACGCTCTACTTCCTCATTACGACTACTATCAATTTCCTATGAAACAGTGATCAGAATAAATGTTACAACGTTCTAGAGCAAGTAGAGAGTTCGAAGACGTCATATTTTCCGAATGAACATAGTGGAAATTTATTACAACGAAGATACATACAAGAGTTAGTCACTGGTTGGTAGGCAAGCCACATGCGTGATCTTGAATCTCTTTACTTGCTGTCGAAATCTGTAACATTTATTCTGAGACGTCGGATAACATATCATTCGACCTTCGTTTTTGCTTTTCCTTCCCTCTTCCCCTTCCCTCTCCTTTCCTCACGCAGAGGCCTCGAGACGGGACTTTTGGCCGCGCGGGGGGCGCGAGGGGTCCAGAGGGGGCCGGGGAACCCCGTCGCAGTGAATTCCCCAGGAGCAGACAATTCCTGGACCCCCGCGCTCTCCGCTCTACGGCCCTTCCGCGCACTACGCCCTTCAGAAGTCCAGCCCTGCGGCTGGGTGTATGTATTAAGAGAGACTCATAACAATAGGAGTTAAAAGACTGATTAGGTTAAGTAAATGTACTGCTAACAAGACTGATTATGTTAAGTTGCATTGTATTTATGTTTAAGAGATGCACAAATGTGCTGGAAATAAACTGTATTCTGAATAAAGTTATATATTTTCATTGACCTGAATTTACTCTTCCTACTTCCTCGTTCAAAGTATAAAATAAATGTGTACATATCCAAAGATTTAAAATATTTTATTACACTGTAGCAATTGTTACTACAGCTATCCTGTCTTAATGCACTCTACAATCCCATGATCTCATCTATGACTCAATATTTTTAGCCATTGCAAAAATAATTACAATGCTTTATTATTTATTATCACACTTGTCGCAATATGAACGAAATAATTGTCGTCATGAAATGTGAAAGTTGTGATTTACTCAGTATTTTTAGCATTTATTATGCCGACTTTTACTCTCGTGAAATTAAAACCAATAGTATTGAGCTATAGAGACAAAATGCCCCAATCAGGGGGGGCATCGCTTTTTTATCAGGTTTTTCTTACTACTTCCCTCTACTGGCCAATCATAAACTGTGCCTAATCTGAGTTACAAGGCGATATAAATCGATGAATTAAAAAACATTGCCTGTTCGACAGTCTTTCAGGGGATTTAAAATTAAAACTAATTGGTTTGTAAGAGTTGATCACTTGCACGTTAATTGTCGCTAACTGTTAGGGAAACAAGGATATTATTAGTTATGATTTTTGTCAGAAAGTGTTTGTTATAAATATTGTGGAACTGTACAAAAGAGAGGAAGTAATGTGTTATAGGGTGTAACGGTAAAGGAAAGGAATACATCTGTGGAGTTCAGAATCGGTCTTTGGGGAATCGACATTTAATTCTGCATGGAACTATATATGATTGTCCAAGACTAAAATTAGCTTTAAGTGGGAAACAGTGAAGTAATTTGAAGAAATTTGGGTTCCGTAATTTTATCAAATCTCTAACATATTCTAAATTTAGTTCGTGATGTAATTTATTATTTGGTATGAACCATTGGGCTTGTAGTGCTTTACGGATACATTTATTATGTACAATTTGTAATTAATTAATGTGTGTTATAGCAGCATTTGATCATACGGGAGAACTATTTATAAATGTGGGTCTGATTATTGATTTGTATAAAAGTAGCGAACATTCGTAATGAAATGGTCATTTAGAAGGCAGAAAAATTTAATCTTTAAGATTTTGATATTGAATTTAATAATATAATTTTGATATGTTTATTCCATGTCAAAGTGGTGTCTAATTCAATGCCTAGATATTTTATAGTTTCGCTTTTTGATACCCATGAAATTGGTGTATTAATTATTTTTAAATGGAGAGGAAAATGTTTACGAAGTGTAAACATTTTGGCATCGATTGCTATGTCGATGTCCAATAAACATTTTATGTACTATAACATGACCTCTTTTTAACATAGCTTCCAGTTCTTTCAATATTTGGTGCATTTTGGAACTCTGTTGGACATAATTTCTTTCGTATAATATTCCTATTAAATACCAATCGTGCTTTGGAAATTTTCAGCTAAGTCCCCTCCTTGCTTCGCGAGTCGGAAATTTATCCACAATTTTTAAAGCACTCGTATTACCTACGAAATTGACTGGAAAGTAGCCTAAACCTGACGATGTGATGACAGAATTTCTTAAGAGTTACATCAAAATACCAAGTCTGATAAAAAATCTCTAGAGATAATCCTTCATTGCCAACAAAAATTATGAAGATGAACATCATGACAATCATGAATCAGGAGCAAAAATCATTGAACCGTTATTTGAGGAAGTTTGGTGCAGTAGGTTTTCCGTCGAAAATACTCGTTTTCCAGAAGAACCAACAAATTGTTGCTTCAGGGCGCGGCGTTCAAATCCCGCTCGCAGCACAGAGAAATGCGCCGCTGCTGTGGAGCATTGAAGGGAGGAACAAGTGGTGCCAAAAAAGCCCTATTTGCACGCAAAACTGCGAGAAAAAGTACTCAAATTTTGGAAAAATTATACATGACCTCATTTCTAGACGTAACTTTAAGGAATGGATTGTATTAAGGGAACATTTTTTATCTTTAACATTTTAATTGTAGGAAGGAACAATGTTGAACGCTCAAAATTTTCGAAAAATCAGAGTTTTTAACGATCATGAAGCCTGTACTATTTTCTTAAACGTCCGTCACACTATCCAACAACAAAATTTAATAAAAAACGATGGAGCCATTTTTTTTAAAAATCGAAAATGTTCCAGGGGATTCATGAAAAGTAATCCCAAAAATTAAAACGTGGGTTTTTAATTCAATGGGCCGCGACATGAGCCAGATCGATTGGAAATATCAATTTTGGAGAAAATCGGACGAACAGTTTTAACGGATACCGTTGTTTACAGACGGACGGCTAGACGTTCTGCTGTCCTTCAATTTTTCTGTAACAGCGACCCACAAAACAAGGATTTTGCCTACACCACGTGTTAGAGGAGTTTTTTTCTAAATTCAGCAACTGGATTTATTCACTTTTTTTATACCAGACCCTGTGATAAGAGCCCAAAAATTCACCGTTTTTCTGCGCAGCGTTAGTTAAATTTCTCTCTACTCCGTAGCGAGAAAGTAAAAAGGGGCAGCGTTGAGTGGCGGTGCGTCGCCCCTGAGGAGTGGAGGGGACGAGAGCGACTCTGCGCAGCTCCCATGGGGAAGTCCGACCGCCGCTGCGTCAGGCCTCTCCTCCTCCGCCAAAATGCCAAGTGTAGTTTTTGTCCAGGATGTTCAAAAACCGCTGCCTCTATCTCTTCCTCCATCGCTCAACGCATTGGAGCTGCTGCGTTAAGTATTTGAATTGCGCGCAACTAAATCGAGGTTTCTTGAAAATGAAACACTATTTTTGTAGTGTTATTTATATTGTATTAAATTGTTATATTTTGTTAATTTACTATTTTTCGTACTTATTATTATTATTATTATTATTATTATTATTATTATTATTATTATTATAATCATGAAATACACATGTAATTATTTACCATAATTTTTCAATTTATTCAATAATTCAATTAGTACCTTTCTCTCAAAGCTTAAACTCTTGACTCAACGTATATTTGCATTTAAGCTGAAATGCCAATTATAGTTTTTGTTAAGGATGTTCAAAAATATGTAAGCAATATTATAGGTTTTTACCCCCTTTTTTTGTATCAGATGTAGTACTTACTAACATCCCGCTAAGTTGAATGTTTAATTTCGAATCATCCCCTCTGCTTCATTTACTCTGCTACACAGAGGTAATTTAATTAATTTGGGGTAAAATGTCGTAGCAAAATATCTCTCATCTAAATCTCGCCACCAATATACTGT